AAAGACCCTTGTCTCAATTAAACTGAGACAAAAGGCTATGTATTCAAAGCAGCAGCTACACATTGTGACCAGCAGCTGAGAAAGAAACTTTGAAAATAAACTATAAAATAAAATAAATTCATGAAATAAACTTCGCAGTGGCTGTCATGCCAATTAAAAACACTTAGATGAATCAGATGTGACAAAGTCAGGACCTGAAAATCCAGTTACGAAACTTTTCCTACATTCCCTACCCACTTCCTCCACATGCTACTCTAATTTCCACTTTTGTTGCTTCAGTTTCCACCACCTTTCTGAAGAATTAGTGTATTTAGGGATTCTTGCACTAATAGCCAGCCACTGTTACAGGGTATTTCTGCAATATTTTACTGCCTCCACACTTGTAAGCTTACTTGTAACTTACTTTTAAAAACTTCAATATCAAGGCAATTTTCGTGGATAGTGGTACTCCTACACACTCTTCTAACACACACTCACACACACTCTTCTTTTCTTTTTAATGAACTATTTTTACTGATAAAGGGCTGCTAGGAAGCTTTAGGGGAAAGAAAAACAGCTGTCCAACACCTATTGATTTTTTTTTAACAGCTACTATAGTTTTAATTATTGAATGATAACACTGGATTTCCTCGGTCAGCTTACAAAACCTAGAAGTCACTTAGTCCCTAAGGGCTATGATAATTTATAGAAAACTGTTGATGTGAAGGCAAACTGTTGCTTGTGAAACTATCACAAACACTTCTAAGAAGGATATGCTGACACAAGCAGGTCTTACCCTGCCTTCTCTGGGAGGATATATGTGTGATCATTGCCCCTAGTCCTTCCAGTCTAAGGCTAGTCCTGTATTTGTAAATCTTATTCTTTTTTCTAGGAACCAGAATTTACTTTTCTTTTTTTTTTTCCCTCCCTTTTCTATGGTTTATTTTTACACAGTAGCTAACAAATTCTACTGTTCAAATAAGTCTATATTTTCTTCATAAGCTGTTTCCGTTTATTATTGCTATTATACCATTGACAGAGTTCACAAAGGTAATATAAACCTTTCTAGAATCACAGCTACAGAATATACTGAGCATAGGGATTTATACAGTTAATACAGTGATAGATTTATAAGGTTAAGTTTCTTCTTATTTTCTCATTTGCACCTCTTCAAGCTTTTATTAATTTTATTTAGTGTGCAATTTTGTCTGAATTGGTATTGACATTTTTTTAAAAATTCAACATAATGTGAAATTTAGCATTTTAAAGTGAGAGAATCTTACGGCCTTCTAGTTCCATCCCTTTCCTTTAATATTACTAGCTCAAACCAAATGGAGGGAAAATATATTGCTCTTTATTATTTAACTCTGTAAAGCACCCTAAAGCCCTTTAGTAGACTTTTATCCTATGCATGTATGTGTTGCATACAGACACAATTTCTTTAATTTGTTTTTTCTTTAGTTTCAGTTGAGAAATCAATACCTTTTGATGTAAGCCCATAATTTTTATGGATAGCTCTCCTCTAAAAGGTAAGAAATATGTTAATATAATGTCTTCCTAATATCCATATTAGGTTGTCACATTTATAATATGCAATTAAACAAAATTTCAGAGCCTGCTGGTGGTCCTATGATTTGGTAATGTGCTATCACTAATGAATATTGCACTTGAACTCTGTACCTCTCTCAAACCCAGTAATAAATATTGTTTGAAAGAAGGTGTTTGGCTCAGGAGGAAAATAAACAATGTTACACCGCTTCTAGCAGGCTCCTTCTGACCATATGAAATAGATGTAAAAACAAGGACTAGATGGAGACCCATCCTCCCTGACTCGAACAATGAAAGAAAATTAACTTCAAGAATAAGATACCATTCCCTCCAAGCAAGAGAAACCTCAAACAAACAAAAGACCTGCAGGGCATCTGAATATGAAAGAATGCACCTCCTTCAACCTGTTAAATCTTCCTGTTCATCTGTGATAATCACACTGTGAATTTAACTAATAAGTAATGACTCTGTTTCCTTGAATGCCCGTATTGACTTTTCAACAAACTTGCGTCCTTCCCTGCTAAGCATATGAGAATCTTATTCTCTGGAAATCAGCGAGTTCCAACATACTCCATGTTGAAGACAAAGTATCATGCTGAAAGCACTATTAAACAGGAAGTTTAAATGTCTACCCTAGAGGAATACGTAAATATTTTAACAGGACGAATGTTGGATTAACTGTGCTCTAGCTAGGGAATTTTAGTGGCTTAACAGCACTACTATTTACACTTTTTGCATTCCACTGCCAGGAAAGGACATCAGAGCAGCATCATTCCATGTATTCCTTCACTTAAGTGCATGGCAAAGTAATTCAGTTCTGATCTTGTCATTCAGAACATATTTAAAAGTTGCACTTCCAGTTTCTTCTGACTATATAAAACTGTTGGATTTTTGATAATATTTTATTTCATTTATGCTTAATGCATTATGACATGATGTTATCAAATACTTTACCACTGATTTTGAAGGAAGTGTTATAACCTCGTGCATGTTCTACTCAGCATTAACATCAAATCACACTCACTACGACTTGTTCAATTTTATATTTTATCTAATATAAATGCTCTTTCATACATGCAGTTTGAAACTGAAATGGATATCACAGGAGTACTCTTCGTTTTAGAAAGATATTTGCATAACCCAAGAAAAACATTAAAGTATAATATAATACAGACACAAGTTACATATATAGATGCTACATATTAAGAACAATATTGCTGTTGATATAACTTATGAGATGGGGTAATAGTGCTCTGCTTCAGATTTTGTGCACTAGAGTAGCTTTCTGAGACTCTTTACTTATTTACTGACTTTATTGAAGGTCCCAGAAGTGCAACAGTCAACCAATTTACTAGCAAGGCTAACTGCAAAACAATGCTCCAATGCAAAATACTCCATCTAAACAGCTATAGTGAGCTGTGCAATTTGAGTTGATTTCGCAATGACAAGGCCTTTTAAGAATTGGCATTAAAAATTTAGGGGGGGGAAAGAACCCCCACCACCACAAAGAAAGATGCAACACTGGCTAGGATAAAAACCTTTAGCATGAAAGTATGATCTGAAGTCTTGTTTCTAATCCTACATCATGTGCCTTCATCCTGGTATGTGACTCTTCACCTCAAGTTGAAGCAGGAAGGTCTCTTCTATGCTCTGTGCCTCTCATTCCTCTTCTGTAAGGGACATGGAGTTCTTGGGTTTGTTTCACTCATTTTGGTTGCAGGTTTTTTCAGGCAAGGACTGTCAGAGCCCGTTTGGACTCTGAATGTTAATGTCTTGCAAAGAACAACAAAATGAAGATTTTGCTAGACCTGGAAGTTCATTCCACCTTGAAAGATTTCTACTGCTACATCCCCTCTATGCCGTCGATAGAACTGAACACATCTAGATTGCTGGACAACTTTGAGCCAAGCACATATTTGAAGTCTGACATGAAGAGATGAAAAGTATGCTAATCACATTACTACAACATCATAATCTAGCATTGCTGCTTTTGCTAGGAGAGACATGAACAATAAAATGTATTGTAGTGGATACTTGGTGATTAAAAGAAGAACTGTGTGAAGACTATAATATGAACACAGTTTAACTGCTCCGTTATAAAAAAAAAAGGCAATGTTGACATTATCTCCAACATTACAACAATGAAACTAGCACGTTACTAAAGCGAAACCACGCATTTGGTATACAGTAACCTAGTATGTAGTGCTACTTCACTAATAATAATAGCAGTAACTTAAGCTTAAAAAGATTGAGAAGCAAAAAGTCTTTGGTCCTAGAGGGCACAGAACAAAAAATTGATATACCAAGGGCTGAAGCCTATCTAAAAAAACATGAATGAGACAGACCCTAGTAAGCTCTGGAAAATTCTCCTTTGTGCCATATTAAAAAGATACGCAATATATCTGCTGTTCAAATAATGTTAGATGAACTGCTCAGATTTGATCTCAGGTTTTCTGAGATTTAATGACTGCCCATCATAAATTAATTTTAAATTACTCGTATTCATGAACCAAAATAAACAAAAAATATGTGGTTTAAGGCTGTTATGAATGTTTCACCAAGGAAACACTGCTCAAAATCTTCAAGTACCCCAGGAAGATAGCAAAGATCTGAAGGTTTAACTCCAAGTCTCACATTATGAAATGTCCGGCTCTTCCTCCCTTTCCTTTTACTGAGTTTCACCCAAGAACTAGCAGATGTAAGCATCAGCAAATCTGTCATAAATCCAGCCAAATCCTGGGGTGCATCAGGCCCAGCATCACTGGCAAGACAAGGGGGAGGACTGTCCAGCTTTGGTCTGCACTGGTGTAGTTTTGTGTGTAGTTTTAGATGCCTCCCTTGAATACTGTGTATAGTTTTGGATATCATTTCGTTTTACCTATTCCCTAGCATCACACTTTTCTACATTGGGTATCCTTCAATCATCTCTAAGGTGTAGGCAAGGAATGATGGGTTTTGTATGCCTTAGCAACACTACACCTTTGCACTACTTCTCAGCAGAAGGAAGATGTTTCAGGTGATCAGGATGACAAACATAACTAACAGAGCAAAGAATTACACCTTCTGTTACGCATTCACTATCATAGCTCCTACAGGAATTCATAATTTTTTATGGGAATACACCAGACCTAAAACTGATATTTCAAGGTATTTTGATATAACATGTATCACTTTCAATAGCCTATATATTGCACAGCGCTTTGTATCTCACTGCACAGATATCAATATGTGGCAACCTGTATTATTTCCTAGAGGAATTTAATTCAGAACATATAATTACTGTACTTCAACAGCTTAAAAATACTGTCTGTATTCTATTATTCAAGACAGAAAGATTACACAGGAAATAATTAAATGCTTTTTCAATACTGTGCTCTCTCGCTCTGTCTATATATAAAAGTTATGACATTCAATGTAAACCTGCAGTACTGCTACAGCTTTCTTAATTCACAGAATTATTATTTTTAGCTTACCCAAATCTGTAGCTTAATTCTTTTTTCATTTTTGAAAACTGTTTTTACTTTGAAATCGATCCCAACCGTGCTTACAAATGCAGACGTAAAGGAATCATCAGCATATCGAAACAAAAAGGAGGTTTTCCCAACACTGCTGTTGCCGATAATGAGCAGTTTGAACATGTAATCAAAGTTCTGGTCAGAGGTATCTTTCTGGCCATATTTGGAATCTTGAACGGATGACATCTGTAATTCAAAATAAAAAGAAACAGTTTATAGTTTCTTGAATCATATAAAACTTGAGACATTTAGATTTTATTGCAGTTTTTCATACCATGTATCAATGAAGTTCAAGAAGAACACCTACTTGAAATATTACTAATGTGTACACTTCAATATAAATTTCAAGAAGAAGTTCACAGAGGTCTAACTCTTCCTTTACAATTAATTTATCTAGTAATAGTTCTGGTAGCAAAAGAGGATGTAAGCATCACTGGTGACTAGTACCAAAACAAAAAGCAATAATACTAAAAATTCAGGGCAGGGCAGCTTATGAGTATACAACTAAAAAGATCTGACTTCAGAAAACTTGAAGAATGAAACAGACGGTCAGAGTATAGATGAAGATACTTCACTTGTACAAGAAGGAAATAAGAGATCAGTGCAGCTTTATGACATTTCAGGTATATTTCCAAGCAAAAGCTGAGTAAGCTTTACACTTAATGAAATTCTTGAAACATTTTACTGGAAATATGTTATCTTTTCCATGCCTCAAAGCATTTTGCCTTTACCAGATTTTAATTATTCTACGATTAAATAGTGAGTTGGGTATATACATCTGAAAAAAGGTCTTGATTTTTTTCTAGTACCAGTTATTCTACAGTTTTTTGAATTTCCGGTGTTAATACAACACCATTACAAGTGGTAGTTATGCGCAGGGACACGTCATATGGTTTTTAAGAAAAAAATCTCAAGTATTCTGAAATCCTTAAGGCAGACCTTAAGGTTTTTGAATGTGATTATTCTAATTATATTATATATAAATATATATAATTATTCTATACTTTTACACACTGATTTGAGACAGAAGGACAGCCACCATATCCTAACAGAAAGGTTTACAGAAACACAGCTCATGTAAAAGCTTTCTAAGTCAGGCATCTCAGAGTCCTTTTGGACAATCAGAAAGGACAGCTGGAACCAGGGTGAGGGCTGTACACTGACACACCTTCTCATCAGAATTTTAATTAGTGCCTAAATTTTCTGAGCTAGTTCTGCTGTTTCATAGCACAAGTAACAGTATGCCAGCTTCTTCGGGCTACTGAAGAGGCTTATAGGAGGACGAGGGACAAAAAGTCCCGAAGAAGACAATGGAAGTAGGAAGCTTTTAAAAAAAAAATTCAGTGTAAGATAAATATTTAATATATAATACAGTAGTGAGCATTTGATTTCAGATTTTGAGTTCAGAATTACCTTCTTCATTAAATGTAGTATTGGGTACCTACATGCTTGCAACCTGAGTATTTGCATTGGCCTTGAAATTTAATCACTTCTTCCATAGGCATGCAACAAAGAAGCTTTGGTTCAAAACCCTAAATATTACCAAATATACACATTGGTAATCTTTTAGCTTTCTGATTTCTATAAGAAAGACAAAAACCTTCACTTCTCTCCCTTAATGTATAACTATTTGGGCATATTTTGCTGAGAATGTGAGAAAATCAAATGCTGTTTATAGCAGTCTAATTACAACTGATTGGGAGCCCCCGGTGGTCCAGGGGAAAATACACTGCACTGTCACTGCAGAGACCCGGGTTCGATTCCCAGTCGGGGCCCCTCCCCGGGCAGATGGAGCTCGTTAGCCCATAAGGCAATCCATCTACGTCCTGAGCACCTCGCTGCCACCGTCCAAGCGTGCTTGGCCCCGGCAGATGAACCTCAGGATTAAAGGGTGGGCTCAGTTCCGCGCACACTGTGTCTCACCTAAAAAAATCCAATGCGCAGGCTGGAAGGTGGAAAGACCTTCCCCGGTTCTTCGTTCGCGAAGAGACTGGCCATTAATTACAACTGATTATAAAACAGTAAAGGCTATGCTAAGGTTGTGTACAATTTGCAACAACAAGTCAATGAAGTCCATCTGACAAAAGAGCGCAGTGGCTGTGGATGCCAGGGTGTGCAACCTGTGTCCTTGCCCCATTAGCCTGTTTCATCACCCTTCTGGCTTCTCTCTGCTATGCAGCAGTTGAAGCCAAGAGTCACCATTTGTTACAAGAAGGAGCATCATATTCTTTCTTGATTTTATCTCCTAAGAAGACTTCCATGTAGCTTCTTCAACTTGCTTAAGATTTACAAAAAGAGGTTTTATCTTCCATTCCATTTGCTGCCCTCAGTCCTATATGGCTTACAATTCATCCCCACTTACTTTAATGCCTAACACTTCAGAAACAGTATGATTCAGTGAGCAGAGAACTAGGGAGACCTGGAATCTAATAATAGGCCAACTAAATCTCATACATTGTGTAGCCTTCCTGAATAAGAATGTGTTTCCCATTGGTAGTTTTAAACATAGACTTTGCCTACAGAGACACTTCAGTGTTCCTCTAAATTAATGTGTTTATGTGCACTATCCGTGCAATAGTTTGATTACAATTTCTTAAAAAAAGGCATAAGAAAGGACTAATTTCTCCAAGAGGATTAGTGAGGTATTGTTAGCAATTCAAACTGTTTGGAGAGACTAACTTTAGCCTAGAGAGCCAGTCTCGCTAGACTATGGATAATGATCCTTTCTTGTGTCCAAAAGCCAAATGACTTTTTTAGAAAAGTACTAGTGCGTACACTAGTGTGAAGACACATCAAACTCAGTACAGGTGCTAAGGCCTTGCCATTACTTCCAAAACTCACTCATTTTGTAGTAAGCAAAGAGACATATTCTTTCAAGCACAATTTACATTAGGCTCCCATTCTAAACTATACTCCAGAGGAATCTCTATTTTTCTGCTGTAAGGGAAGTCTACGTACTTGGTCCTCTCCAGCTTTGCGAATAAGCCAGAAGTGCTTCTCCTTTTTAAATGCAAGCTGCTGACTTAAAGTAAATATGGAATGCACTGTAGTCAACTCCCTGATGTACTAATATGTCAGTTCATTCCTAATAGTACTTGTCACTACTACTGGAGGTATTTGTAAAAGAAACGTGAAGAAGTTAGTGCTGATGTTACGTTCCTCCTTTCAAAACGATGCTAGAAACAATCACTAGGAAAGTCCTGTTCCGACCCCTAATTAAATGTTACATACATACATGAGAATGAAATAAATCTCTCTAATGTTATAATATTACATTTCCATTAAAGCAAAACTCTTAACTTTATTTGGACAAAGTTCTTTTTTCAAATATGAAATGAATATATCAAACAAGCATCACTTCCAACTAAACACACTGAGTTCTCTCTTTAGTACAATTTGTTCCTTATTAGTAAAACTGAAGAGAAAATGTATAAGGTTATTTTCATTAGCAAATTGCAGTCTTGGTTGTTTGGTTTGTTTTGAGGTTTTTTGTAGAATGAGTCCCTATTCATATCCCTACATGCATCAGGGTGTTAGCAACACATGCAGTCTCAAGCCACCTCCTAGAGGACTTACGACAGACTTGAGAGTCCACTGGGAAATCTAATCTCAAGACAACAAACAGAAAACCTACAGTCAAGAAGAGTGACATGCCTATTCCTTATCAAAGCCAGAAGGAGGTACGTTGCCAGCTTGAATATGGTGCAAGAACAAAAAAATATAGCTTTGTGTGTTCCCCTGCTTCCAGCACATCTCTAAATTCCTTTAATAAGGATTATTTATGGGCATAGGCAAGTTTAATCATTAAGCAGAGTCTTTTATATCAGATCCAGATACTTTTCAAGTTTCATGTTCAGCTGTTTCCTTGATCTCAAAAGGAGGTGAAAACACAGAGTTGAGGACAAATGTCTGAGAAACTGTGTGTTTACCTGCCACCTTCATAATCATAACGAAACATTTGGCCATGTTATTCTTTATGCCTTAGAGGACCTCATTCTTTGATAGAATTTGAACAGCTTTTCGGCACAGCAGCATGCTGTGACCTCCTTGGCGTGCACATGACTTCAGTTTGCACTTTTATGTGCACTCCACTATGGATGCTTAATGCAGGATGAATTGCCCCTGGAAAATACGGTGCAAAGGGCAAGAAAACCTGAGATAGAAAATACTGAAATTCATTCCTATATGCCTTTCACAAATACACTGTTTTCTTTTAAAAACTCCAATAACAGGCATGTCTGAAAGGAAAAGATCAATAGTAAGCCCAGGGAAAATACCTTGTTTCTATCTACAGTAAGGATAGACAGACACTGACTAGCTAATTTACAGTTTTTCAAAGAGTAAGACCACTTTCCTATAAACAGCGCTGTTACAACCCATCCCTGAACGAGAGGTAACTGAGGTTCTTTTTAACAGATTCTTGGAATCAGATTAAAGTGAAATGATACTGACCAGACACAAATGGCAGGTTTATTTTAGAACAATTTGGTTGCAATGGAAAGAGCAACAGTCTTTTTCTAGATACAGGGTAAATATATACATTTCTATTGCTTTCTAAAAAGAAATTGACTTTACCTGGTATTTTAATAAAAACACAGTTCCCTGTACATGCAGCCTTTTGCAAGGGGATCTTTCTGCCTTTGTAAAATATGATTAGTCAAACATAACAAATGGATATTGAAAAAATGAAATATGGTGGAAAATTCAATGACTGTAACTCACCAAACTGTACACAGGATGTGCAAGTGAGTGACACTGCACATTAGTTGTCTTTCATATGTAGATCAAATTGCATCATCAAAGTAGCTAAAATGTTACCAAAATTCTTACACACATATATATACATATATATACACATACATACACACACATATATATATATACACACACAGACACATATATACATACACACCTTGTGGCAATATAACCAAATCATGAGGAAATTAATTATTTTCTAGTTAAAATATCAGACTAATAATCTAGAGATTGGATTTTATTCTTAACTCTTTCAGAGGCATTCTATGACTTTTGTTTTCTTCTCTTCTACATCTTGGGTAAGTTAATTAACCTCCTGTACTTTTGGTGGAATCTCAACAAATACATCAGTATCCACAGATGCAGATTACGGCTAATTCTTACAAATCCTTATTATCTTTTTTTTAACTTACCAATTAATAAGGTTTAAC